GATTTTTTTTCATGGATGGTACCATTGGTGTAGTATCTAAAAGGTCAACAAGGTCATTTAGATTTTCTCCCAGGTTATCTTGTAGGAATTTTAAAGTCTTGTGTTTGACATTTAGGTCTAAGATCCTATTTTGAGATAATTTTTTTGAAGAGTATAAGATCTGTGTCCAGATTCATTTTTGGTGGTAAACTATGAGTGGAGGGTCAGTGTTGTAATCCTATTACTAGGTTTTATTCTTGTAGTGAGTCTGTGAATTTCACAATGGTTTCTCAGTCCTTTCCTGTCCCTCCCTCCAGGTGAGTTAGGATGGCTAGAGTAGGTTGGAATTGAATATTTCCTCTCCACCAGGTTAGTTAGGTGTTGATAAATCCCTAGCAATTTAGACTGGTTAGTTTCTCCTGAGGGCAGATCTTGTTAATAACAGAATGCTCTTGTATTTAAAAATGTTTGTTTTGTTCATTCCCATGCTGGAAAGAGGGGGGGATTTTTCTCAGATAACACTGTGAGAACCTGGTGGAGCTCATGCTGTAAAACTCTAAGTAAAAAGTGTGGGTCCCGCTGGAGTTTCTAACTTTCAGATTTCTCTTCTTTAAACCTCCAGCAATTAATTAATATACAGTTTAGATTTTCCTACCCATGCATTCATTTCTGTAGCCGTATCTGCTGGTTGGTTTATTTGGGTGAGCTATGTGTATTTGTATTGGTCTGTCTGTCTTTGCAATTGGGGGAGGGAGAGCACGCAGTAATTTACTTTGTGATGTCACTATGGATTTAAAAAGAATTGCTGATTTTTAGTTTGTTCAGCTTTTTACTTATTGTTAGGATAGAATGACAACTTCCAAATTTCTAGACCAGAAACTAGAACTCTAATTAATTTTTATGGCTGAAAAAAATATTCAAAATGAGATGAAAAGTTAATGATTTGCCAAGTAGGTGAAACTATAGAATAGGGGTGCTCAACTATAAAAGTGTAAATAATGGTTAAAGGGTTTGAATTGCAAATACATTCATAAGTTATAAAGTACAAAATGAAATATTCTTCACTATGTGAAATTTTGGTAATGAGTTAAGATCTTATTTTGAGCACATTTCTATCAAGTTAATTAGAAGCTAGTTCAGATAGAAGCAGCAAATTATTAGAAGTTTGGAAAATAAGACCTATAATATTAAGTAGATTCATGATGATTCTATTTAAGAAAGCAAGTCTGAGAAATTATTAAATTAAATACACACACACACACACACACATATATATAAATAAATTTTATGGATGGTAATGCTTAATTATTCTTATACCTATAAGGTTTTCCAGTTTTTTCTGTACATTAGAAATAATTCATGGAGCTGAAAAACAAAACATACAAATAATGCCCAAAATTATACTTGGATTTCTTCTCTAGATATTCTGATTCAGAGTCTGCCATGGGGCTTGACAAATCTATAATTTCTTTTTACATTAAATCTTTATGGATGCTAATAATGTAGAACCAGAATTGAGAAATATTGGGTAATATTCAACAGGCAGGGTAGCACTATTCTTAGTGTGGCAGATGGTAGATCATAAGCATGTTCAATACAATTTGTGCAGAGAGGGTGCCATTTTAAAGTAAATCATAACATCTTGAGAGTTGTGGTACAAGCTGACACTTTGCTCTGCCATTACCTTTGGAGACAAGGCTGTGAAACGGATGTTTGAAATACAGTATGTGAAGATTGAAAGAAAGAGAAGTTCCCAAGTTTGAGTTCTGGTGTTTCCCTTTCATAGCAGTGTATCTATCACTGGATATGAGAACCAGCAATAAAAAATGACCATGTTGAAGTCTAATTAAGAGATTGAAAAATCTATTTTTAAACTTGTAGGTGATCCTCACAACTGACCAAGTGAAAGAAGCAGGTGAGGCATTTCACAGATGCGAAAACTAGAGCACGATGCTTTATCTTAGTTATCACAGATCATTTTCCATATTTCTGTTTTGTTCCTGGTAATCTGCTATTTTAGCTATTTTTTTTAAACAGGTTGTATTATTTTGAGTAGGATAAATAAGTTGGTTTGATGCTAAAGCCTATCTTTTTATTTTAAGAGTGCTTTCATCATTATTCCTTTTTATTTCCGTTAACTTTTTATGTAAGTTTAGTTGGTATATAATATTATATTAGTTTTAGGTACATAATGTAGTGGCTCACATTTTTATACCTTACAATGTGATCACTCCACTAATTTGAAAAGATAATACACCCTTATGTTCCTTGCAGCTTTATAACTTGAGGCCCAGTGCATGAAATTCATGCACAGGGGACGAGGGGCGGTGTCCTTCAGCCCAGCCTGCACCCTCTCCAATCTGGGAAACCTTGAGAGTCATAAGCCACTTCCGAGTAGCAACACCTTACCAGAATACTTCGATGTGAATTACCCTGTTTGCTGAAAGTATAAGAATGTCCTAAAGGAAATTATAATAGAAGTTTTTAGGATGTATGATGGATTAAGATTATGCTCTTGAGTTTACTATTTTTCACTGAATCAGAAAGGACCAATTAATAGTCTTTTTGGTTATAAGCGTATCTGCTCAAAGAAAGTTACCTTTACAGAATAGTATGTGATTAAATGCTTAATACTATTGTGTAATTTATCAGTTATCTATAGTCTCATCTTTAAACTTTGTAGTATATAAATGTATTTGCAGAAACTGCACAGGACATCAAGTTCTTCAGGTGTTTTCCATTTTATATGTACTCCAGTCTCTATTTCTAGGTTGGAAAATGGAAGAAAATATCTCTTCTCTAAAGGTTGGAATAATGTTAATACTTTGCCTTTTTATTTGTGACAGGAACTGCACAGATTCTCTGAGAAAATATATAATCTTTTAAAAATTTAATAATTCACTAAATATCTACCAGTCTTCATATTATCCTTCATAAAAGTACAGGTTGTCAAAATATGTATATGATACACAATGGTAGTGCAACAGTGAAAACTTGCCTACGAGTTATACTTTCAGAACTTTTACTGCGGGGGTCCCATTGCCTTCTTCTTTTACTATTTTTTAAATTCTACCTTGCTGACAATACAATAGAAATACCAGCAGGATAATAAGTAATAAGAGGAATTATTGCTGTGATTTTAATACCAACCTAACAAATGATTGGAAGGTAAAGCGAACAGGCTAGAAATCTAGATTCATGGAATTGTAAGATATATAATGCACACCAGAGACAATGTAGTCCAGTGTCCTGATAGAGGCAGAACTAGAGCATCTTTCTACTATGCTGTACATATTATTGGCTTTCTGGGAACTGAGCTAATTATTCCTAAGAAGATATGACTGGACATGTTTGGATTTTAAAAAAGCTCATTCACTCATTATAAATATTTATTTAGTGTCTACTATGCGCCAAAAAACATTCTAGGCTCTGTGGTTGAAGAGAAAATGCGTGTTTCTATTACCTGAAACTCATGAAAATCTACATAGCCTATAGGGAAGGCTTTCAAAAGTAATCATATAATTCAGTTACTGATGACCCCTGTTGAAAGAAAAAAGGATGTATCAACAGATTCCAATTGACTATACAATAAGCAATGAGGAAAACAAAAGAACAGCATGGACAGAATAGTGTAAGACAGTCCAAAACCCATATGATCTAATCATTATGAAAATAATTGGAAAGTGTTTTCTTTCTAAGCGTTTGGGCAATTGGTATAGCAAAAATACTACTGATTACAATAATAATTTCAAGGTGTTAAAGAGTAGGGTATACTATTGGCTAAACAGGCTCAATTAGTCTATTTATAAAATAATAAAAGAGTCAACTGTTAGTAATAAAATGTAAAAAAGTCCATGGAATGTAAATATTACCAAGAAATATTTCTAGAAATCAAAAGGAAAAAATGGATAGAAAATGGGCATTGTTGCAATTATTTCTAATTAAGAACAACTCTGGGATATGTGTCAATGGAATGTATAAATAGTCTATACACCTGAATGTGAATTTGAATAAAGAATGCTGTAATTTTATTAAATCCTATCAAATTTGACTTTTAGATTTGCCTTTTTGTGTCCTATTAATATTTAGTAGTGAAAAGTAGATTAGTATAGCAGCATATTAAAATGTTTAGCTTCTTATTTCAAGGTAATGAAGGTTAAAAGCATAAAACAATGTCTGGCACATAGTACATTCTATAAGTATTTGGGATTTTTGTTTTGTTTGTTCTTTACACAGCATACCTTATTAATGAAGAGTGTAGACTGGAGCCAGAGTCTTATTCAGATTCTACCTCTGCTACTTTCTAGTTGTGTGACTTGGGGCAAGTTACTTAATTTCTCTGTGCTTCAGTTTCTTATCTGTTTATATAGGGTGAGACTATATAAAGTATATAATCTGTTTAATATAATGCCTGGCACAAAAATCCTGTGTGTTTGCAGTTATTATATGCAAAGTCATAGAAGTTTGCATTTTAATCTATATTCAAGCCTACTGTAAAAATTGATACATTAATGATATAATGTTATCCCACAATTACAAACATAGTTATGTGGTTCTTCATTATATTTTTAGTGTAAACTTTTAAAATGACATTATAGGAATGAAAAATGCCTGTAAAAAGATTATTTATGACCAATATTCCAAAATTACATTTGTTTGCTTTTCAGATTTGTTTGCTAACTTAGGCAAAACTGGAAGCTCTGTCTTTATTCCTCTTTTTAAGTGATAAAAAGAACTTGGGCCAGTGGAAAGTATATATTGTTTTGGTTCTGTATATTATTTATTTATTTTTTTAGTACTGTTATTTCTTTTAGACCTGTAATCATTGAGCATTATGATTTTCAGCAGCAACTACCTGATTAGGTTGATGTATATATAGTAAAACCTAATGCTAAATCTCGACCTCAGTAACTAGTGTGTATTGCATATCAGGCCATTGGAATATTTATGAGTCTGTTACATAATTTACCAATTTCTGTGAAAATAACATAGCATAAACTCCTTAATGGAATTAATGACAGCTTTGGTCGTCCAGGAGTAGAATGTTATTGCCAGCATGACAGTGGATCTGCAGTCATCCAGCTCCAGTTCCTGATTAATGAGGTTAGTGAATTGCTTTAATCTCTCTTACTTATGTACAAATTAGGGCCACATCTTGTCTTTCAGATTTCTTCATTTATATTGACATATGTGAACAAAAACTAATTTCATATAGGTTACAGATTATTATTATTACAGATAATTCACTTTAAGACAGGGATGGGGAACCTTTTTTTCTGCCAAGGTCCATTTGGATATTTATAACATCATTCACATGCCATATGAAATTATCAACTTAAAAATTACCTGCTATATTTGGTCAAACATTTAATTAACTCACCCTAATGTTTTGATAGAGCCAGACCAAATGATTTTGTGGGCCTTATGTGGCCTACAGGCCCGATGTTCACCACTCCTGTGTTAAGACATCTTTGTAGATAGTTACATAAATAATGTAAGATGTTTCTCAAAATATTGTTACAAATAGAATGGTATAAAGTAAATCTTTTTGGTACAGGTTGCTGCATTTAAATTTTATTTTCTGATATTGAGAGTTATAGAACTAAAAAATCTATATTGAAATATTTTTTAAAGATGGAGCTTATTATAAATAACAAAATGTACTTCTTGAATGAGTTGTTTTGAAATACAACCAGTAAACCAAAATACATTAGAAACAGGTTATTGTCCAAAGTTCTTGTTGTATCACTTATTGGTTGAAGTAATTGGTGATGCCTTTCTCTTTGGTAGACTTTGAAGATTAGAAGGAGCTAGAGAAACCAAACCCCATTTTTACAGCAGAGTAAATAATGTGTTTGCAGGTTTTAATGTATGCGGACTCTGAGAATAGATGTTTTCTGGAAGTAGGGACAAGCAGAAAAAGCTGGTCATAAGGAAGAAAGAGACATTACTCCATAAGGCTCTGCTATCCTTAGATAGAAGGATAATTTGTGAACATTATTTTTGCCCCTAAGTTCTTAAATGTGTATGAAAGACAAAAATTACTCATGGCTTTTAATAAATGTTTTTCTTCATATCAGAGGATTTAAAAAGGCATTATGGGTGCAGAGATCTAAAGATGACAATAGGAAACAGCAAAATTATGATCCAAATAATAGGCAATTGTGTAGATTTTTCAGGGTCAAGGAAACATGTTTTTGCTTGTTATAACTTCAGAGTTCTGCATAGATCTGCATTATAAATTGTTTAAAATAATCATAATATAGGAAGTTGTCAAACCCATATATGAGGACTCAGATTACTTTTTCGTTTTAAAAATTTTTTTTATCTGTAAATATTAAAACTATAATATGCTAATTAGACTGGACGTCCTTCCAGACAACCTTCCAGAGGGGCTACAAGGGAAGCCCAGGTTCTGGATGCTTTCCAGTAGTCATTATAGCACTAGGAATTACACAACAGAGTAGCTCTCTTAAATACTAACTGTGGAAAAGGATTTGGAGACATCATGTAAAGTTTGTCTTCAGAGCTATTTTAATTTTCTTATATAGATGAGAAACTCTTTAAGAAGGAAATTTTAAGGTTTCTCAATAATCTGAAAGATTGGAATTACAAATCTTTTTTGAAGTTAATATAAATTCTTCATGTTGCATCTTTTGTCTTATTCTCAATATAGAACAGTATCTTACTCTTTTGAGGAAAAACATATGTCTTAATAAACCAATCATAGTGTAGAGACTTAAGTCTATTCACACATCAGAATCACTTCTGGAAGTTTTTAAGAAAACTACACCTGCATAGGTACTTGCTCTAAAAATTCTGATTTGTCAGATCTGGAATGAGACTGAGTACCCTGCATAATCTTCATATAATGCCATCGAATTTTTTCCTCCATTCTTAGTAGTATTTAATAGTACTAGATATTTTAATTTTCTAAATTAGTTTGTTTTTCTCAACCCTTTGGACATTGAAATTACAGTGTGCTGAATGCAATCTTTATTTTCCTTATTCTAGTAGTATAATTATGATCTAGGCATAGTACATTCATATGATTTGTCTTAAGCCAAATAAAATTGTAAGGTTACCTCATATCATATTTTGCTCTTTCAGTCAAGGAGATAGGTATAGTAGTGACCATGTAACTTATAGTCTGGCCTCTAGCTTTACATAGCTAGAAATGAACCATAATATCCAAGTAATTTTTACTATACTTTTAGTTAATAAGATAATAAGTTATACTTTATTGAAGAAGTTAATTTTTTTACACACATTGTGTGCATAAGTACACAACACAGTTTTGCATTTGCTGTTTAGAATTTGGGTGAGACAAATGTTTATCAGAATTAAATCTATTTGCAGAAAGTTTAGAAATTTAGAAAGGAGATTTTTTGCAGCTCCTTCGTACCTTTAATATTTGTAAATTGTGTTCTATATAAAATATATTACACTTTATTTTCAAGGGAGCTCTTGTGAGTGCCTTGGCTGATGATACATTGCATTTATGGAATTTACGCCAAAAGAGACCTGCCATACTACATTCACTTAAATTTTGTAGAGAAAGGTAAGAATCTCTGTTTTCCTTTATATAGGATATTTGCTATTTTCTTGAATTTTATTCTTTGATTTTATTTTTCTGTGATGGACTTTACACACAATCTAAAAAATAATTAAAAACTTCAGAGGATATCCAGTGAAAACAAGTTTGTTTGCTTTTTCCCTTTTCAGACGATATCCGGTGAAAACAAGTTTGTTTGCTTTTTCCCTTTTCAGACCTACCTATCTTCCTTTCCAGAGGCAACCACACACATTTCTTTTGGGACCTTTTAGAAATACTGGCAGTTTGTTTGCATAAGCAGAGATGTCTGTGTAGCTTCTGTTTTTGCATAAGCGGGAAGACATTGTATATTTTTTCTGTAACTTTATCTGATAGATGGTTTCATATTGGCACATTTAAATCTCCCTTAGTCATTTCACAATTGCATGATACTCCATTGTATGGAAGTACCATAAGTTATTTAGTCAATCTTTGTTAGTGGATTTATATCATTTTCTTTCTTTTTTTTTTTTTTTTCTTTTTTTTCTGTGTTGTAATATTGTTACATATAAGTACCCACATTTATGAATATATCTATGAGATACATGTAGAGTTGAACATCTTGATCACAGAAATCTCTCATATGGCTTGTGTGTTTATGCTTTGACTAGAATGTAGTTTATTGTGCCAATTTCCAGGTTTATCTCTCTCTCTCTCTCTTTAGGTTTATCTTTTATTAGGGATTTATCTGTTAATACAATTTAAACCATAAGAAATAATTTGGTAGTAGTATCTACATCATCGAAATCCTCTGCAACATTGGAGGCATGGCCTTTACTGCCCCATCTCCTGTTATAGATTGAATTGTGTCCCCCAAAAGATGTATTGAATTCTGAATCCCCAGTACTTGTGAATGTAGTTTTATATGGAAATAGGGTCTTTTTGTTTATAAGCAAGTTAATATGAAGTTATTAAGGTGGACCTTATCTAATATGAGTGGTGGCCTTATAAGAAGAGGAGAAGAGAGACAGGAGAACACTGCAGGATGACAGGGGTAGGGATTGAAGTGATGCATTTACAAGCCAAGGCAATACCAGAAGCTAGGAGAGAGGCATGAAACACATTCTCCCTCTGAGCCTTCAAAGCAAGCATGGCCCTGCTGACAACTTGATTTCTGGTGGCTACTCTCTGTAACTCAAAGAGAAAAAATTTCTATTGTTTTAAGCCACTTCATTTGTGGTAATTTGATATAGCATCCCTAGGAAACTAATATGTATTTTCTTCCTTCTTGTTGCTTGATATTGGGGAACCTCGTTATTATGCACTTTGGGTTTATACGTGTAAAGAAGAGGTTATCTATGTTGAAATTTAGAGTTTGGCAAGCAAATTCTATCTGGTAATTGCCTTATTAGATCTTTTTCGTTTCCTTGAGTTAGAATGTTAAATTTTTGCATAACAGTTTTTAAAATAACAATATATGAAGCATTTGAAGGCTGAAGACTTAATTATATATGTGGGCTTTCTCATTTAAATCCCACTACTATACTCTGTTAATTATATATCTTAATTATGTAATTCCTTAGCCTATCTAATAAAAGAGTAATATGCAATTAACCATCACTTCGCTAATGCCTGTCAGCCAATCAGGAGCAAATATGCAAATTAACCAAACCAAGATGTCTGTGGCCTCAGACCGAGCAGGAGGCTTGGGTTTCCCTGGCAATGGAGGAAGCCAAGCTTTCTGCCTGCTCTGGTCTGTCTTGGCTTCAGCTTTAGGCTACAAAGTTTCAATTATAGAAGGTAAATTAATCTCAACAAAAATGGCGGCAGCCACGGATCTGGAGAGAGTAGAGGCTTGAGTTTCCCCCGGCAATGGAGGAAACCAAGCTCCCACAGCCCTGGCTTGCCTTGGTCTCTGCTCCAAAGTTTCAATTATAGAATATAAATAAATCCCAGATACCAGGGCCTCCACTTGTGTCGCTGGGTTGTGTGACTGGCCTGCAAACCACCACAGGCCCCTTGCACAGGCTTCCCCACCCCCCAAGGGTACCCCCACCCTGATCTGAGACACCATTCAGGGCAAACCAGCTGGCCCTATATAATAAAAGAGTAGTATGCAAACTGACCATCAAGATGGCTGACCCCATGTGGACACAAGATGGCCAGCAGCTGAGAGCAGTTGGGAGGGACCAGGTTTGCAAGGGAGGGCAGTTGTGGGCCATCACGCCAGCAGGGAAGGACAGTTGGGAGGGACCAGGCCTGCAGGGGAGAGCAGTTGGGGGCGATCAAGCCTGTAGGGGAGGGCAGTTAGGGATGACCAGACCGGCAGAGGAGGGAATTTGGGGTTGACTGGGCCTGCAGGGAAGATCAGTTGTGGGGGACCTAGGCCTACAGGGGAAAGAGGTTGGAGGGAATCAGGCCTGCAGGGGAGGGCAGTTAGTGGTGACCAGACCTGCAGGGGAGGGTTGTTAGGGGCAATCGGGTGGGCAGGGGAGCAGTTAGGCATTGATCATGCTGTCAGGGGAGTGGTTAGGGGTGATCAGGCTGGCAGGCAGAAGTGGTTAGGGGCAATCAGGAAGGCAGGCAGGTGAGCAGTTGGGAGCCAGCAGTCCTGGATTGTGACTGTTTAGGCATAAATGGACAGTCAGACATCCCTCAAGGTTTCCCAGATTGGAGAGAGTGCAGCCAGGCTGAGGGACACACATCCCTGTGCACAAATATCATGCACTGGGCCTCTAGTTATATAATAAAATGAGCATGCATGTACCATGTACTTATGATTAAGAAAATACAATATTACATGGAATACATTAGTGATCAAAATTACATCCTAACTAATGAAGCATTAATGTCCAGAGACCTCTTAAGAACAAAACTGTTTGGCAAATGGAGCATTTCATTCAGATAACTACATAGCAGTGGGAAAGTTGGTGCCTACTAGTATAAGGCACCTCAGGAACTGACTGCTTCCCTGGCATCAGATTTTCTTAGTAGCATAAATAAGTTAATATAGGAACAGAAACTAATTTATTCCATTATACTTTCATTATAATACTACCTAAATATTGTACTTTGCATATGTATGAAGCTTATAATTTGCACAGTGCACATGAATAGAGCATAACTGTAAAAGAGTATTTGGCTAGATACCAGCCCTTAGAAAATATATACAGGTCTTCCCAATATTTTGAATTAATTCACTGCACATACTTCTGTGCAAGAAAAAAATTAATCATAATATTGAAACAAATCAAGAGACCTAGAATTACAGTTTTTGTGCTAATTGAGTCACATCAGCAAAATATTTTTCTTTGAAAGCAGCATAATGAAAAGTGTATAAGCATTAAACATGAGAGCAATTTGGTGGAATGAAATTCAATTCGAGCACAGGAATAGAATGATTTTTAGGCCTGGTAGGAAGGTATGCAGAGGGATCTATTTCTTTGGACCTAATTCTAATCTACAAAGGTAATTTGTTGGTGATATGGAAATGATGAGTCACCTTGGGAATTATGCAAATGATACAAAATTTAAAAAGAAAAAAAATTCTGTGTTTGAGGAAAGACAATTGTGATTTAATGACCTTGAGACTGTAAAAGGAAAAATGGTTAGGAAATGTTCGATAACTTCCTAGAATAAAATTATACATAACTAACAACTAAGCAATTCTGGCAAGGAAATTGGGAGAGACATTCAGAGATTAGTCTGGTTGCACAAGGGTCTTGAAATGTACTCAAGTATAAAAGGGTTATATGGAAGGAGGGGTTACATAATCAAAGGTGAATATAAGAGCAATTTAGTTTTGCCTGTCAATAGGAACTAAGTATTGTGATAAACACTAAAGACAAAGTAATGAATGAAAACACTTTGTTTTGTGTAGAAAAACTAAGTATATTAATTTTAAATAGAGCCCGGACATACAGGGGTGGACAAAAGTAGGTTTAGAATTGTAATACAAATCATATAATAATGATAATACAAGAATAAACTGTGTTGCATGTACACACAACTGTAAGCCTCTTTTGCCCACTCTTATATTTTGTTCCTGTAACTGTATTAATGCAGTACTGGCTCAGACAAATTATGTTTTAGACTGCTGAAAGAAATATAAAATCTGGTTGACTTAGGAGGAATATAGAATGGAAGCAGTGCTTCACATTTGGAAATGAAAAAGAATTTAGAAGGTAAATTAAGTTCAGTTCACCAAATATGGGATACCTTCTGTGTACCAGGGATTATGATAAGGATTGTTATTAAGATAACAAAGATGAAAAAATGCTTGAATAATTTATGTTAAAGCAAAGGCCCAGACATATCCTATCCTATATAATAAAAGCCTGGGTGGTGTTATGCCCTCAGGCGATGAACTTGTGTGATGTCATCACAAAATGGCTGCCACAAGATGGCTGGCTGGCGAGGGCAGTTGTGGGTGATCAGGCTGGCAGTGGAGGGCAATTGAGACAAACTGGCCAGTAGGGGAGCACAGCTGGAGATGATTGGGCTGGCAGGGAAGGACAGTTGGGGGTGATCTGGCAGGCAGGGGAGGGAAGTTGGGGATGATCGGGCCAGTAGAGGAGAGCACTTGGGAGCGATCAGGCTGGCAGGCAGACAGGCAAGCGGTTAGGAACCAGCAGTCCTGGATTGTGAGAAGGATGTAGCAGATTGGAGAGGGTGCAGGCTGGGCTGAGGGACACCCCCTCCCACCGTGCATGAATTTCATGCACCGGGCCTCTAGTAATAACTATAAACAATATGGATGGATGCCATTTTAAAAGTTTATGTTAAAAACACATGATAGAATAATTAATCCTACCGTTTTCAACCTTTTATTTTTTAATATCCTGACTTTTAAAAGAAGACAGTAGTCATCAGGAAAATGCAAAGTACTAGTTACACTAAGATCTATCAGCATGGCAAAAACATTGGCTTGAATGTGAAAACACTGTAACTTTTCATAACCTACTAGTGGAAGTGTTAAGCACTATAATCACTTTGGAAAATTTTTTGGTTGCATTTACATATAGCAATACAACTCAGCACATTCCTAATTATATATGTGTGGTAGGCAGAATTCTAAAATGGGTCCTAAAATTTCTCCTTCTGGTCATTCAAACAAACACTAGTCTAAAGGCATTTTGTATATTAATTGAGGTCTGCATTAGTTGACTTTAAGATTAGGTGATTGTCCTTAGTGTGCCTGACTTAATTATGCCTTTAAAAGGTCCTGCTTTCTTCATGACAAAGGTTCAGAGTATGAGAGGGATTCACAGCAAGGGACATTCAGTCTTACAATCTCAAGAAACTGAATTTTACTTGAAGCCTGAATAAGTTTGAGAGCTGATTCTTTCCCAGATCTTTAGAAAGTAACACTGGTTAATAACTTGGATTTCAGCATTTTAATACCCTAAGTAGAGAATTCAGTCATGCAGTACTTTAACTTTTGACCTAAAGAAACTGAGATTGAAAAGGGGGTGTTGTCCTAAACTATTAAGTTAGTGGTAATTTGTTATTCAGCAGTAAAAATCTAATACAGATTTTGGTACCCAGAACTGGGATGCTGCTGTATGAAATACCTAAAAATGTGGAAATCTCTGCAACCAGGTCATGGCTGGAGGTTGGAAGAATTTCGATGAGCATTACAGAAAAGCCTAAATTGTCCTGAATTCGAACAAGTGTTTGTAGGACACTTGACATGGAGATTGCTCAGAGGGAGAAAGGAACATGTTTTTGGAAAGTGGAGGAATTGGTTCCTTGTTATGTAGTGGCAGAAAATTTATGAGAAGTATTTCCTGCACAATATGTAAGTGATTAACATATTAAGATTTCCAAGGAGAGGGTTGAAGGTACAACATGAATCTTTCTTTTGGCTTTATAATAAAATGCTAAAAGAGAAAAAAATTAGGGAAGTATTATTAAAGGATCTAAGACTTTTGATAATTTAGGAAATTCTCACCCTGATCTGACAAAAAGATTGCTTCTGAAAATGTGGCATAGAGAAAAACCATGAGGGTGTGGCCTTACAGTGTTTTACCAAAAATCTCTTTCAAGAACTCTTTCAAGAGGTTATGTGTGTGCCTCCATAGATCTTCTCACCCAAACCAGAGAGCCTCTAGGAAGCTTAAGAATATCAACCTTCAGGTCTCTCAGTAGGAGCCAACATACAGAAGAGATTATCACAGGAAGATTTGTGGGTGTGATTTTTGTCTAATAGAGTAAAACCCAGTGAAATTTAAGACTCACAAGTTTCTTCAGAAAAATTTGTAGCAGAAACATTGCTAACTCTGGTTTAAAGAGCCAGAGAGAACAAAATGAAAGGAGGCTGTTACCAAGCGCAGGCTGATAAAAGTCCTCAGCTACAAACAAATGCTGCCTTTTATGAAAAAGGAAGGGTGATTAAGAGCATGGAGCTGAGAGCCACACAGGATTATTCCCATGTCTTGAAACCTAATTAAGAAAAACCCAACGTTTGCCCAATTTGATTTCAAAACTATTATGGACCAGTGGCTTCTTTTTACTTTCCATTTTTCACCATTTTGAACAAGAATTTCCCTTCTCTGCCTGTTATGAGCCTCTACCCCTGTAATCTCCAGGAAACCAACAATCTGTTTTCTGTTACAATAGATAAGTTTGCATTTTCTATTGCATATAAATAATACATAAATGGAATCATGCAAAACATCCTTGTTTTTCTGGCTTCTTTTAATTATCCTAAGAATTTAGAAATTCATCAATGTTGTTGCATGCATCAGTATAGTTTTTTTTGTGTTTTTTTTTTTACCTGTGAATAGTATTCTAAGTATGTAACACAGTTTGTTCACCCATTTACTTGTTGATGGACATGGATGTTTGGGATTGTTTCCAGTTTTTAGCTATTACAAAGCTGCCATAAATATTTTTATATATTTTGTTATAGGCATTTGCTTTCTTTTCTTTAAGTAAAGACATAGAATGGAGTGGGCTAATTTATATTGTGGATGTATATTTACTTTTTAAAGAAACTTTCAGTGACTAAATTAATAATACTGTATTAATATATGAAAGATGCTAAGAGAATACATCTTCAAAGTACTCACCCCAAGAAAATACTTAACTGTATGTGTGGTGATGATGTTAGCTAGACTTATTGTGATGATCATTTCACATTATACACATACATAGAATCATTATGTTGTACATTTAAAACTAATATAATGTTATATGGAAATTATATTAAAAAGTAAGCTATTTAAATTTATATCTCAAAGAAGTTAAGTGTTTATGAGATGCTCGCCCCATATTTAGTAATATATAAAATAAGGATTATGTACCTTTCTAAAATCTAGAAAGTTCTGAATTCAGAAATCTAAATAGCCTTAAAGTTTTCAGAATGATACTGAGAACTTACTATGTTGTGAGGTAATAAGGTACTATAAAATAAGTTTTTGAGTCAGTAGGCATTTCTGTGCTCTGTTAAATATACGTCAGTCCTTTAGAAAAATGACTTTATCTTATAAAACATCCAATAGAAAATAGTTAACCTTAAGTATTTATTTAAATGAGCAGTACCTATAGAAAATAGTGAGACCATGAGTTGCATGCATGTTTATTTGATAAATGTTTTCACCTAGAAAATTCTCAGGAATGAAATTGTGTGTTAATGGGAACAGAAAATCTTCTGCATACAATATCTTGTCTTCTACCTACTCTGAGTATTAACAGTCTAGTAGTGATTATTATCAGCGTGTTATTCTAAGTGCTATTCCATCGAGATTTAAATAGTCTATTTTGAGAGACACAATTAGATTCTGAAAAGATGAGCATTATATAGTTTCATAACCTACTAGCTCTTTTTTGAAGTACTACTAAAAAGACAAGATAATTTCCATTCTTTGCCTTTGAAATCAAATGAGCTGATATAAAATATGTTTGAAATTATTGGGATGATGACAAAATTTAATACATAATTTAATACATGCATATAAATTATTATAATTTGTCAATGAAGTCCTCTCATATAATCAGGACATAGGGGGTGATTGTTCAGAGAGCATTGTCTCAGCCTGAGTACAGAAGATGTCTGCCCTTTCAGGGCTTACAAATTAGTGAAGAGAGTAAACCCTCTCTTACAAGGCAAGCCTGATAGACATGCGGAAATATTGGTATATCAATTTGAGTGAAGGTGGTATTTGAACTGAAGAAAAACATAGGAAGACATTTTGCATGGATCCTAAGAGATATTAGTATTTAATAACTCCTGAGGAATATAGTAGTACATGGGGGTGATGTGGGTATTATACTCACAGTTTGTTGCTTAAAGGTTACATCTGGATGTGCCTAAACTAATAGTTAGTGGATGATATGGTCAAATTTAAAACATATAGTTGGCCCTATGTATCCATGGGTTCTGTATCCATAGGTTTTACATTTGCAGATTCAACCAACCACAGATCTAAAATATTCAGGAAAGAAACAGGCCTACAATGTTTGTGGCATCAATACTGAACATGTACAGACTTTTTTTCTTGTTATACTCTAAACAATATGGTATAATCGCCTTTTATATAGCATTTACATTGTTAAGTATTATAACTAATCTAGAGATGATTTAAAATATACAAGAGAATTGTGTAGGTTATACGCAAATGTGCCATTTTACATAAGGCCATCCATGGATTTTGATATCCTCAGATAACTGGTTACAGAATCCCTCAAGGATACTGAGGATAACTGCTTTATCTTTAAAACTTGTCTTCTTTCTATCATACCATCCTGTCAATTTACTGTAAGGCCTTTGACTAAGCTAAGTTTAATTAGTATAATTAATTAAACACAATGAGTAAATTTGATGGTTTATCATAATATAATTAAATATTAATCACAATGGTGTATCATATTTGCTTTTCATAAGTTACATATATCATGATTAACTCTTTAATACAATTAATAAAATATAACAGACATCTTAAAATAATTTTTTTAAATATATGTTCTCTTGCAGGATTACATTTTGCCATTTGCCTTTCCAGAGTAAATGGCTCTATGTGGGCACTGAACGAGGTAACATACATATTGTCAACGTGGAGTCCTTCACCCTCTCAGGCTACGTCATTATGTGGAATAAAGCCATTGAACTGTGAGTTTGAGCAAATCTTATGTATCTAAAAGTATCAATACCATAGATGATATTATATAATAACTAATCATTAAATTCATACTGAATTAAATATCTGTCAGACCTTCTTGATATCAAATATAGATTAGTCTTTTGTAAGTATTGGTACTGTTGGTACTTTGTACATTTAAATGATTTATATACAGGGGTTGGGCAAAAGTAGGGTTATAGTTGTGAGTATATGAAACAAAGTTTATTTTCTTGTATTATTATTTACTAGAGGCCCATTGTATGAAATTCACATACCTCAGCTCAACCTGTACCCTCTCCAATCCGGGACCCCTTGAGGGATGTCCGATTGCCAGTTTAGGCTCGATTGCCTGTCTGCCTGCCTAATTGCCCCTAATCACCTCTGCCTGATGGCCTGATGTCCCTAACCGCTCTCTTGCCAGCCTGATGCCCCTAACCTCTGCCGCCCTGCTGTATGGGTCCTGGATGCAGGTATCTGGCTCCCTCCTCCCTCATGTCAAAGTCTGGGGTGGGCCTCGGGACCCAGAGTCAAGCTCCCTGTCCCCCTCCTCCCTTTCCTCCCCCCAGCGAGCCTTGAAATCATGTGAGATCCAGACCTGGCCAACCCCACCCCAATCAAGCCCCGCCAGCGTATCACATCCCTGGCCCGTGCTGGGTGGGGACACACTTAATAGTATGTGTTCACATATGTATAAACTGTTGCACAAGTTTCATGAAAAAAATATTATTAGGTGAAAATAGTCTTATTTTTATCTTTTTTCTCCATCACCATTTATCCTCTCTGCCCTATCCATGGGCCTCTAGTAAATAATAATACAAGAAAATAAACTTTGTTTCATATACTCACAACTATAACCCTACTTTTGCCCAACCCCTGTATATAAATCATGTCCATGAATGCTATGTCCATGAATGCTCTGTTTTTTTAATCTTGTAATTCTTTTTATTTCATATGCTTGTCAGGCCCCACTAAATTGATTTTATGACTCACTAATGTGTTGCCACCAATTTTGTAAAACACTGATCTAAACTACTACCTGATATATTTTAACAATTAGCAAATGTAGTCTAAATATTTACCATGTAACATTGCAAAATTCACTTGACAGTTTTCCTTCATTTTGATATAATGATGATTGTTTTCATTTTATAATAAACAACAAAAACTGGATGAGCTTAAGGGCTGTAAGGATTTTAACTTTAACCCTGTTTCCCGAAAATAAGACAGTGTCTTATATTAATTTTTGCTCCCAAAGATGCGCTATGTCTTATTTTCAGGGGATGTCTTATTTTTCCATGAAGAAGAATACGGTACACATTTATTGTTAAATGAAAATAAAGGAAATTTATTACCTGTATATGGTACGGTAGTACGGTAGTTGTCAACACAAACCAGACAAACTGTGAATCCTACAGTTTCAAGAATTTACTCATTTATTCAATGACAATCATGTCATCATCTTCTGGAACATCATCATAACAATCCAATTCCTGAATTTCTTGGTGAATTTCTTGTGACTCCATTTCTTTCAGAATTGTGGACCAAATCTCTCATGTTTAGCAATAGCATTCTGAGACAGCCTAGAGGGGCCTTATTTTCGGAGGATGTCTTATTTTCAGGGAAACACGGTAGTTCTGACTTTTCACTCTTGTCTTAGAATCTTATTTTTGCACCTTATCTTTGTTTTTTTCTTAAATAATTTAGACATAAAAATTTAAGAAAATCTACAAGATTCATTTTCATTTTGTTTTGTTTTGCTTTGTTTTTCTTTTTAAATAAATAGATCTGAATTTTTGTACTCCACAATTTTATATCACTTTGACATGGGGCATCTCTAAGTAGTGTGTACAGCTGTAATAGCATATCAAGCTTGGTTTTGTTTCTTGTAACAGGAGCATTATTATCATACTAGAGGCCCAACGCATGTAATTCATGCATGGGTAGGGTCCTTAGGGCTGGCCAGCAATCAGGGCCGATCAGGATCCCACCTCCCCACCTCCCTGCCTTCCTACCTCCTTGTTTCCTCACTGCCTGCGTGCAACTGTGCAGTTCCCTGCCTCCTCACCTCCCCACCTCCTCCTTCCCTTGTCACCCACGCGCTGCCACTACTGGTCACCCACCATGTTCTACACCAACCTCTGGTGATCAGCATACATCATAGCGAGCAAGCAATCGAACTCCTGGGTCTCATGGTTGAACTCTCTGGGGTACACTTTGCGTGTTAGCCTTTTATATAGATAGATAGATAGATAGATAGATAGATAGATAGATAGATAGATAGATAGATAGATAGATATCAGTCCCTTGATACAGGTGTGGGTTTTCTTGGTCTGTTGTTTGAGTTGATCACAGCATCAGGTGGGTAGTTTTGGTGTAGTTGTCTTTGTGGTTTCACAAATGTCTCTCATGAAGTGGACTAGTCTTTTAGTCTGTTGAGTTTATGAATAGATAAGTGCTTATTCATGCAGTATAAACCTCAGTACAGCTACATTTTTATCTACATGACTTATTTTTTTGTGAGCAAGTGTAAGTGGCATTACTTTTGTTAATTTGTTTTTTAAGATAATATAGTTTTTTTTCTTTTTGTGTGAACTATGGAACTGGATAAAATGCCCTAATTGGAGACTAGATTTAAGTAAAACAAGATGGCAATATTTTAGATGCTACTTTATTTAAAAATATGAACTCTGAGAATTCTACCATGAGAATAGATTTTCTGTGCTATAATACTAAATTGAAGATTCTTTTGTATACACAAAGTACTTATATTTATCCAAATTAATCAATTGTAGTTTTTTCTTACTTTATCAACTTAACAGTCACTATGTTTTTCTTATTTCTTTTTCGATTCATACTAAGAGCTAAATATCTGTAATTGATTACTTACTGAAACATTTATACCTTTTATAAATATATCTTTATTTTTCATTCATTATTCTTATTGTGATGAATATATAATTGTATTTAAAATTTTAGCTGACCCAAAAAGTTTTACTAATCTTTCTTTTTTAGGTCATCTAAGTCTCATCCAGGACCTATTGTACATATAAGTGATAATCCAATGGATGAAGGAAAGGTAGAATTTTTTCTAAAACATATATTTATTAACCTAAATGTATGAATTTTGGTATTTTTTTAATATGCAAACTATTCAAGACACACCTTGCAAAGTTGAGATTACTAACAAAAGCTATAGCCCTTGTTTGTACATTATGAACAAGTGAAAGAATTAGAATCATTTACAATTTTAAAGAACAACAATAAAAAAACCCTAAAACAAGTTAAGTTTAATAGAAGCAATTAAAGGTTATTCATTTATTTGGGGGGGGGGCAATGGTAAGATATGTACATAGATAATAATTTAATAAAAATAAAAATAAAGGTTATTAACTTATTTTTTACTTATTTAAAATATTTTCCCAGATTTTCTCATATTCCTCACAAAAACTGTTTTCTTTTGATTTTGAATTCTTTTTAGTGCTTTAGTTATACAGTTTTTGTAGCAATACTATAAAATCACATTAGAGTTGTTGTATATCTTATCTTCCCTAAATTTTTCTTTATGAGTAGCTTAGATTGTCTGTGGTTGATATCTTCCCTTTCTTCCCACCCTCCCCTGCCTTTCCTCTGAGGTTTGATGGTCTGACCTATGATTCTCTGTCGTTAGATCTCTTTTTGTTCAACAGTATATGTTCATTATATTCCACAAATGAGTCAAATCATGTGATATTTGTATTTTTCCAACTGATTTATTTCGCTTAGCATAATGCTCTCCAAGTTCATCCATGCTGTTGCAAAAGTGGCAGGAATTCCTTTTTACAGCAGCGTAGTAATCCATTGTGTAGATGTACCACAGTTTTTTAATCTACTCATCTGCTGATGGGCACTTAGACTGTTTCCAAATCTTAGCTCTTGTAAATTGTGCTGCTATCAACATAGGGGTGCATATATTTTTTCTTATTGATGTTTCTAGTTTCTTGGGATATATTCCTAGGAGTGGGATCACAGAGTCAAATGGGAGTTCCATTTTTAGTTTTTTTGAGGAAACTCCGTACTGTTCTCCACAGTGGCTGTATCGGTCTGCATTCCTACCAACAGTACTCGGGGATTCCTTTTTCTCTGCATCCTCACCAGCACTTGTCATGATTTGTTGATAGCCATTTTGACAGGTGTGAGAAGGTACCTCATTGTTGTTTTGATTTGCATATCTCAGATGATTAATGACTTCGAGCATGTTTTCATATGTCTCCTGGCCTTCTGTATGTGTTCTTTCAAAAAGTATCTGTTGCATATTTTTTGATTGGATTATTTTTCTTCCTTTTGTTAAGTTGTATGAGTTCCCTGTAAATGTTGGAAATTAAACCCTTTTCGGAGATAACATTGGCAGATATGTTCTCCTGAGCAGTGGATTTTCTTCTTGTTTTGTTGATGGTTTTTTTTTGCTGTGAAAAGTTTTTTAGTTTGATGTAGTCACACTTGTTCATTTTCTCTAGTTTCCATTGCCCTAGGAACAGTATCAGTGAAGAAATTCCTTCGGCATGAGATTTTTCTACCTGTGAATTCCTCTAGTATTTTTATTGTTTCCCGACCTATGTTTAAGTCCTTTATCCATTTTGAGTTTATTTTTGTGTATGGTGTATGTTGGTGGTCTAATTTTAATTTCTTTGCATGTATCTCTCCAGTTTTCCCAACATCATTTATTGAAGAGATTGTTTGGATTTTATTGTATGTTCATGCCTCCTTTGCCAAATATTAATTGAGCATAGTGGTTTGGTTTGATTTTTAGGTTATCTATTCTATTCCATTGGTCTTAAGCCTGTTCTTGTGCCAGTACGAGGCAGTTTTGAAAAACAGTGGCTTTGCAATACAGCTTGATATCTGGTATTGAGACCCCTCCTACTTTGTTTTTCTTTCTCAGTATTGTTGTAGCTATTCGGGTTGTTTTGTTTTTGTTTTTGTTTGTCGTTCTAGGTCTGTGAAGTATGTTGTTGGTATTTTAATGGAGAGTGCAAAGATTGCTTTCTTTATCAGTAAAGAAATAAAAAAAGAAAAAATTTCAATGACTATACCTTCCAAATTTGTTTTTAAAAATTGTGAGAAGAAATAAATAGCTTAGATTAATAATGTAGAATTTTTTAAAATTTTATTTAAGTTTTTATAACCAGGAACCAGTTTTATGCAAGCAGTATCTAGCTATTTTTAATTTAGTTTTGTTAAATATATTTAAAAATCATAAAAATTCCTTTTCCATGATTTCTACTTCCTAATCCAACCAATCTGTCAGGTATTTCTATTTAAAGATAGAATGTCTGTGTGTATAAATTTATGATGTTAACCTATGTAAATACCAGGAAATTTGTCACTATCGGAAATCAGTGAAATGAAATTTAGAAATTTTGTGAAGCACTTTACCCAGATTTTTCCTTTCCTCAATTAGTGGGAGTAGTTGAGCCTATAAATTGTTTAACACTGTTCTTTTATTTGTCGCTGGGAAAACAAAAGGGTAGCTGTACTATTTAGAGTTAGCTTATATTTATATATAAAATTGTATGTTTTGAGAGAAACTACATGAAGCACGTTACAGTAACCTGTATCTTCACTTTACTTTCTTTGGTACAACATACTTGTTTGAAAGGTAAGCCTTTGGGTGAGAGGCAGGGGGGGAGAATTGAAAACTTTCCTTCCTTTGACTTGGTCACTAAATCATTTAAATCCTTCCTTTTCAGTGTCTCTTTTTATTACAGAACATTATGGCCAAGGTAGTTAGAGGCATTCTAACTCATTCTTGAGTCATTTCCTGATCAGTCTTCCTTGAGTGCCATTTTAATCTTTCTTCTCTCCTGTTCAAAAGCTTTCCAGTGGTTCTACAGTATCTAACAAAAAGAGTTTCTTCAACTGTAGCTTTGGGCTTCATTATCTTTCAGAACATCTTTACCAAAATGCTATACTGAAGCAGATAATTATTGTTTCTCATTTGTGAGTGCTCTTTGCTGCCTTCATGCTTTGTTTATGTGAGTCTCTCTGTTTGGAATTCTTTTAGGTAGTTATATTTAATGATATTCTCTCTCCAATGAATTCCTACCCTCATTTAAAAATATTTATATTTTTTATAATCAATGATTTTTAGAGAGAGGAAGGGAGTGGGAGAGATAGAAATATCAACAAGAGAGAGACATCATCATGCATTGAGGGTCAAGCTTGCAACTGGGGCATGTGCCCTGACTAGGAATCCAACAGGCTACCTCTTGGTTCATGGATCAACACTCAACCACTGAGCCACACTGGCTGGGTCCTACCCTCATTTTAAGACTCAGATTAAGTAATTTTTTTCATGATATTTTCCCAGATAATTTTGAAAGAAAATGCTTTCTCCCACTTCTAAATTCGCTAGCGCTTTATTTGTGTAAGCTTTACAGTATTTGTCACATATTGCCTTATATTAGAAATGTGTGTATATGTGAACTCGAAAAAGCTTCATGACACAGAGGTAATATTTATGCAGATTTACATTTTACATTATATTCAGAATACAATAGGTCCTCCAGTTATTTCAGAGATCCATTTCTGCGGTGTGGCATAACATGATTTTCACTGTAAGTCGAAACACACCTACATAAGCACCTACGTCATTCACATGGAGCACATACAGTACACAGCAGTATAGAAGTGAAACAGTAAAAAAGAATTTTAAAAGAAAGATAACAATTCCTGAACTTTACTTGTGGTAAATAAGTAATAAAAAACATAAAGCACATATGTACATATGTTGAAATGATGAACTTTTTTTTGTAAATAAATGGGAGATGGCGACATAACCACAAAACGTTGTATGTCGAGTCTGACATACAACGTACTGAATACAGTATAAATAGTACTGTATAGGGCTGTCTGTACAGTACTATTTATACTGTACAGACAGCCCTGTAACCCGAGGGCTGTCTGTACAGTATAAATAGTACCTGCTCAATATTCTTAATTCACTGCGAAAATAAGTTATAATGTTTATATCATCCTCACTTTTTGAAACTTGCATTATATTAATTCTCCTTAGTTCCCAGAGTTAATCTCATTCAACATCTTTGAAACATTAAGATGTTAGAATAGATTATATTGACTGCCATTTATTGAATTTTACTTTGTGTCAGACACTATGTTGACACATTAAATACACTGTTTCATCTGATCCTCCCAGCAAATTTTAAGTGAGATATCTTTCTTGTTTTACAGATGATCAGGCAGAGACTTGAAAGTATTATGTGGTCAAGAAATACAAAGTTAGATATTGGTGGAACTGGGATTTTGAACACTGATTTCACTGGTTTCAACTCCAGAGTCCTCTCCATTGTACTGTATTTTCTCTGTAAGATATAGATAAGTTATTAATGTAGAGAGCTGTATGCATAGTCATTGTATGCACTGATGCTTTTTATGAGAGAACTAGAGGCCCAGTGCACAAATTCATGCACCAGTTGGGACCTGGAGGGGTAACATTATTAAAGTTACATGGCCACCAAATGGCACATCTGAGAGCTTAGTGCTGAGCAATCCAGTGTTCTTTATACTGTTCCTCAGTTCTTGAGTTTCATCCTTTTTCATCTCTTTTTATTTCTGAAGTTTTCTTCCCTCATCAGAAAGTGACATAATCACATATCCAAGATACTTGGAAGGACTATGAAAAGTTAAAGGAAACAAATACCAGCGTTGTTTTTTTTAGAAAGTGTATCTATGTAAGACAGCCTGGGAAAAAAGTGTTTGGGTTACGGAAATTATACTTCCTGCCATTGTGGGAAAGCCTCTTGTTAGCCTCAGTGACTGGCTCCTACAAATGTACTGTAGTCTGAAATCTACTAAATTGATATTTCATTAAAATTACTGGTTCTCCCCCAAATTTTGTTCATATCTTAGAGTACATAAATGGTTATCAATTACCTACTAATTATGCATACATTAAACAACTAGTTGAGTGTCTAACATGTATTAGGCCGCTATTAGAGACATATAGGTGAAATGCATGTACTAGTATAGGAATAGTTGCATCTCTTTTAGTGGGTAGGCTTAACCAAGAAAGCAACTAAACTGATACTTAAGAATGAATAGAACATTCTTTAGTAAATAAAAGGGGAGTAGGTTCAAGCAGAGGGAATACTGAAATTTGGAAAATACTAGGTGGACAGCAGAAGTTGGATAAGTGGTAGACAGTTTGTAAGGCATGAACATGCATTCCAGTCTGAAATTTATTCATTTACAAAGATTTATTAAGTATCTACAATGGATCAGTTCTTGTGTCTTATGTTACAAGTATGGTGGTGAATAGGTAAAATCAATCCTTCTTTAAATAGACTAGTGTCACTGTCTAAAAGATCATTCAGATAAGACAAGGGCCATTATTATATTGTGTGGTGACCCTTCAGATGAAAAATAGTACAGAGAACTGTTGGAGCACATAGGAAAGGCATTGACTTACATTTGGTAGGTCAAGGTGTCTTCACTGAAGAAGTGAGTGATAGCTCAGAGGGCATCTGAAGAATTAGTAGGATTAGTCTAGCAGAACATGACATTCAAGTCAAGTGGCCCAGGTAGAAAGACAGCATGTGCAAAGGCTCCAAGGTAAGAGAGAGCATGAATTAAAAGATGGACTGGAGTGTATTGGGTACTGAGTGTGCGGTAATGGATAATGCTGGAGAGGTAAGCAGAAGACAGACCAGGATGAATCTTTTAAAGTCATATTTCATTTGGACTTTATCCTAAAAAAGTTTTAAATAAGAGCATACATGACATGATCAGGTTTACATTTTAGAACTGTTACTCTAACCACAATATGGAATGGGTTAAAAAGAGGAGCAAGACTTGGAATCAGGGAGAATAAGAGACCAGAAAGGAGATCTTTGTGTCTTTTTTTTCAGTTACAGTTGACATACAGTATTATATTCATTTAGTTTCAGGTATACAACATAGCAGTTTGACATTTACAAACATTATAAAGTGATAATTCCAGAGATCTTGTGTCTTGGAGTAAGTTATTGGAGGTGGAGGAAAGTAAGTTAGGGAGATGATAGAATGTAATTTTAAAATTATTTGATGATTTTACCTGATGTGGGAGAGGAGGGGAGGACCCAGAGTTAACATGACCCCCAGGTTTTTGCCTGAGCAACTTAATGAATGTTGAGACAAAGAATAGTGAAAGAGACACGGCAACAGAGAATACCAGACGAGGGTAAGAAAGAAAATAATGAATTCACTTTGGAAACATTTACTTTGAGGTTCTTCTTGAGTAGATAAGTGGAGATGTGGCAACTGGAATTACGAGTCTAAATCTCATGTGAAGGATCTAGGCTGGATATAATTTAGAACTAATTAATATGTAGATAAATAAATGAGATTTCCTGATAATGTGTTGAATTAGGAAAGTTTGTGAACTTTAAAGCACATAAAAATGTGAACTTGTATTGCTAATTTATTATATTAATTAAAATGTACACTGAGGACTTCAAAATGGTGGTTTTCTCTCTCAAAAAAATTTGTATGATATATATTGAGTCCCTAATCATAAAAAGCATGTAAATTTGAAATATAGTATTCTCATTTGTGATCTATGTAATTAATAATTAGCAATGCAGATGTTTTAATTACATTAATTTTATATTAGATACATATTAATGATAATTGTTATCTTGTCAGAAAATAAATGCTTCATATGATTACTACCATTCCTAGGTAATGTGTCATTTTCTTTTATTCCAGCTTTTGATTGGCTTTGAATCTGGAACAGTAGTTTTATGGGACCTCAAGTCAAAAAAAGGCGACTACAGATACACGTATGATGAGGTAATAACATTTTTGTTAATAAAAAAATGTTGTCATTTCTCTAGTTCAGAGCAGGTTTTCTAAGAACATTTATAGCTGCAATAAATACAAATGTTTTTCTATAATAGATAATATATTTATATAGCTCAAAAGATATAAAAAATTCTCTTTCCCACCCCTGTCATTTGGCCATCCAGTCTCTTTCTTACCCCAGGTACTAGTGTTACCGATTTTTCATGTATTTTTGCAGTTATTCTATACATTTATAAGCAAATTAATAAAATTGTATTTTTATCTTATATGAATGATTGTAATATGCTGTTGACCAAGCATGTCAGACTCAAAGGCTAACACAAGCCAAATAAACAAGATTTAAGTTTATGTGGATCGCAATAAAACAAAAACTTCAATTTAAAAAATATATATTTTTATTGATTTCAGAGAGGAAGAGAGAGATAGAATCATTAACGAGAGATAATCATTGATCAGCTGCCTCCTGCATGCCCCCCACTGGGGATCAAGCCAGCAACCCGGGCATGTGCTCTTGACCGGAATTGAACCCAGGACCTTTTGGTCCGCAGGCTGATACTCTATCCATTAAGCCGAATTGGCTAGGGCAGAAGCTTCAATTTTCACAGAAACTTACGTTTATTTTAATAGAGACATGCTGAATACACAGGGCTGAAATAAATGAGTAATCATTAACGTAAAATAATAAAACATTTTAATAAAAATTATTTTTTTCTTGAACATTAATTTACCAGACACTGAGTAACTGCACAAATTAATAAGCGTAACGCAAATAAACCTATTTTTCTTGTTCTCAGAAAGCAAAATATTTCCTGTTGTGCACACCAAACAAGTCAGTACAAGACTAATGATTTGGCAATCAGCTGCTGAAATATTCGCTGCTAGTATTAGTGGAGAGAAATGGTGTGCCTGCGTGTAAGATGCATAAGGGAAATGAGTGCAACATGATTATAGTAATCAGTCATTAGTGAACTTTGTAGTTTGTTAATAACTAGAGGCTTGGTGCATGGATTTGAGCACTAGTGGGATTCCTCTGCCTGGCCTATGGGGGTTGGGCCAAAACCAGTTCTCCAACATCCCCTGAGGGGTCCCAGATTGCGAGAAGGCAGTTCTCTGGCAACACACCCCAGAATCCTCCTCTCTGGTTCTGGGTGCATCACCCAAGAACTGCAGCTACCAATTCACAGCAGTTCAGCAGCTCCTGCGTTGAGAGTCTGCCCCCTGGTGGTCAGTGCACATAATAGGTGATGACTTTTATTTATACTGTATTTTCCGGTGCATAAGATGACCGAGCGTATAAGAGGACCCCTAATTTTACAGTTAAAACATAGGTTTAGGCCTATATTCGCTGTATAAGACTACCCCCCACTACACTAGAACACAGTGTATCTAGTAAAAAGCCTGCTCAGATTGGCCTGAGTCAGAGAGGCGGTCTATTAAAAGAAGAACTGGTGTAGCCTATGTTTTAACTGTAAAATAAGGGTCGTCTTATACACCGGCAAATACGGTGTGTGTGTGTGTGTGTGTGTGTGTATACTGTGGATAGATTATGTATAACAGGATATTATAAAAAGATATGAAATTTTTATTAAAATAATTTTTACATACTGTTATATTGGTTGGGCTGTTTGAAATACTTGCAGTAGACATTTATTGTTGCTTATTTTAAAACTCAAATATAGATTGATTGTGATTGATAGATACACCTTTTAAGTCTCTTTTAAACTGTAGACCTCTTCTCTCTCTCTCTTTTAATATATTTTTATTGATTTCAGAGATGAAGGGAGAAGGAGAGAGTTAGAAACATCAATGATGTGAGAGAATCATTGATTGTTGCCTCCTTCATGCCCCCTACTGGGCATGTGCCCTTGATTGGAATCAGACCTGGGACCCTTCAGTCCACAGGCTCTTCTCTTATTTCACTTTCTTACCTCATTTCTTCTTCTTTTCCCCCCTCCCATTTATTTGTTGAAGATAGTCTCCCAAAGAAGGGATTTTTCTGGCTGCATTCGATTATGTTTAACCTGTTTTTAACCCTCATATATCCTATAAATTGGATAGTTTACTGAGACTTGATTAAATTCAGGTACATTTTTCACGTTTAGCAAGATTACTTAATAGATAATGCTGTTACTGTTCTATCCAGTGGAATGTTAGTTTGTGTGATTTTAGAAGTCACTATATATCTGCAGTAATATATCTAGTGACAAGGTCTAAATATCTTTGTAAATAGCTTCTTACCACTAATATTTTGCATAAATTATTTATCTTTAGGAGATTGCTTAAATTTTGGTTTGTGGAATTGCATATGTTTTTTGAAATAAATTTGTCATTGTTTTAAGTTTTTATTTAGAATTTTTTAGAGATACTTTACTTTTTAAGAAATATATTTTTATTGATTTCAGAGAAATGGAGAGAGAAACATCAATGATGAGAGAGAATCGCTGATTGGCTGGCTCCTGCACACCCCCCACTGGGAATTGAGCCCATAACCCAGGCATGTGCCCTGACCAGGAATCAAACTCGGACCTCCTAGTTTATAGATCAGCATTCAAATACTGAGCCACACCGGTTGGGCTAGAGATTCTTTAAACATAAAACATTGTGCTACATACTGGCATTTAGAAGAATTCTGATTGTCTTTATTTATTGTCATTTAAATTGTTAAACCTGATCCATAGTATTAAAGTGTTTCATTTAACTTAAGTTTATAAGTTAAATGAAACTTTTTTTTTTTTAATATATTTTATTGATTTTATACAGAGAGGAAGGGAGAGAGATAGAAAGCTAGAAACATCGATGAGAGAGAGTCATCGATCAGCTGCCTCTTGCACAACCCCCACTGGGGATGTGCCCGCAACTAAGGTACATGCCCTTGACCGGAATCGAACCCGGGCCGGGCCCTTTCAGTCCCCAAGCCGACGCTCTATCCATTGAACCAAACCGGTCCTGGCTAAGTTAAATGAAACTTATAAACTTATAAGGAACTCAAATGAATGGACATTGAATGAAATCATAGTAAATGTTGACTTTGTATATAAATGGAACTAAGTTTTTGGAACTAAGTTACATGGTTTTTGTGCTGTACTTTGCAATTCTGACACCCTAATAGGGCAGATTTTTTTTCCCTCTTCATAACTTTTAAAATATATATTTTTACTGATTTCAGAGAGGCAGAGAGGAGGAGAGAGAGAGAGAGATAGAAACACCAATGACTAGAGGTAATCATTAATTTGTTGCCTCCTGCACACTTCCTACTGGGGATCGAGCCCGCAGCTTGGGCACATGCCTGTGACTTGAATCGAACCCAGGACCTTTCAGTCTGCAAACCAACACTCTATCCACGGAGCCAAACCAGCTAGGACTAGTAGGGTGGCTTTTAGAGTCAATTAAATATTAAGAACAACAGTGTATCAACTTGAGCTGAAAACAAGTAATTTAAAGAACCTAGGAGAGTGATTAAAAAAAAATATTTTTTACAGGCAAAAAATTAAATAATATTAGAACAAAAAAATGGAAGGAAAACATATTTAGTTATTTAAAATTATTTTAAAGATAACTTTTAGGTGCCTTAAAGTTATAAAATAAATTTTTAATCAAAAGAGGGTCTCTTTAGTACTTATTGTGAGAAATGAATAAACATGTTTAAAAGGTTAACTTGAGGTATTTTTAATTGATTTTAATTCCAAATCTAGAAATTTATTTTATTAGAAATTTAGTTAATTTAAAAAATTTGTTTTGTATCAATGCAACTAGTTAGCCCATGAAATATTGGTTGTAATTATTTACTTGATAATATGTTTAGGTATAGTTTTTTCTAAGTATAAAAATACATTTTGTTTTTCTGAACTTAGAATTACATACATACATACATATATATATATATATATACACACATACATACACACACATACATACATACATACATATACTATTATAGCTTCCTTATGCTGGTTTAAGGAGTAAATAAAGTAAAAAGAGTCAAAATAGTATCAATGCTAAATTCTCATTTGTATTGCTAGAAGATTAAATCACTATGGGAATGTAAAGTTAACATTGTCTTCAGTTTTGGAAATATAAAAAAAATTATTTTTGTTTCTATATTTGTTTTGTTTGTTTTTTAAAGTTTTAATTGTTACAAGTATTACATATGTAATCCCCCATTGATCCCCATTGACTAAGTTCTTTAGCTTATCTCTTCCCACCCACCCACCCACCTCTTCGTTCTCTCTGAGATTCAAAAATTAATTATAATACCAATTATGAGCAGCTAGGTGTTTAAATATTTTTTAATGGAATTTTTCACCCCTTTTCTATAGGCTATCCACTCAGTGGCTTGGCATCATGAAGGAAAACAATTTATTTGTAGTCATTCCGATGGCACCTTGACTATATGGAATGTGAGGTCTCCTGCTAAACCTGTACAGACAATCACTCCCCACGGTAAGAATGTATCACTTTTAAACACTACCTAAATTGTGATGGACAATAAACTGTTTTGTGTATGCATTTGGATTTGTTTCTCTGTTTCTTTATGAGGAAAAGGATGGGTCTAATTTGAGTGAATTAGAAATAACTAAACATACAGAAAAATGTAAAGCAACTATGTAATAAAATCTCATATTAACTATATTTAAGGTCAAAATAGCTAATTTGAATTTTGAGAAAATGAATGTTAAATTATCTTTTGAATATTGTTTTATTAGTAGTTCAAAAAGTAAATAATTTTGTGAATTATATAGACCTTACTTTTAAGCTTTTGTCATCTTTAAGTAATCAATTTACAAGTTGTTAATGTATATGTAATAGTTCATTGAAATACTTGGAACATTGCAGAAGGAATTTTATACATTAAAGTAGTGTAGAGGTACCCGAAGATTACCCCAAGTTTGATGCCTCACTAGGAAAACTGACAAGACTCAGCAAAATGATGCAAAGCAAAATAAATAAACAGAAAGGCACATGGGGTGAAATCTGAAGTCCAGTGGGGTCATACACAACATGGTTTATTCCCCTAGCAAAGAGTTATTATCACACATCTGAAATGTTTTCTACCGTGAGGCTTCAGCGTTCAGTTGCCCAGAGTTTTTATTGGAGTCAGTTCATAGGCACCTTCTGCTTTAGCACATATCAAAATTTCGGACTCTCACAAGGAAATAAGGGATTCATCATAAACTATAGTATTTATACAGACAACTCAGGCACAGTGTGCCACTCTTCAGTCTGGGAGGTGGTTAAGAGCTGACTCAAAAGCTTAGTGACCAGATACCAACAAAGAGCTAACCTTGCAAGCCCTCACAGCTAGAGATAGCAGACTCAGGCCTACTATATTAACTCTTTTCTGTACAAGTAGTGTTTACAAAACCTAAAAGTAGATTTTATTGGAGAAGTTTATTAAAACAGATTATGAGGGCCTTCTTTGAGTTTTGGGTGGAGCCCAGGAATTTGTATGTCTTCATTATTCTGCATTCTTCAACTCCATCTTAAGAAATTCTTACCCAGCAAATTAAGGGAAATCATATTAAAGAAATAGTTTTTAAAAATGGTAGTATATTAAAGAATATACTAGTAGATATTGCCAATATTTAATTGCTTGCTTTAAAATAGGGATACTTACTTTTTTTTAAAAATTGGTACGTTTGAAATATTACAATGTAGAAATTAAAGAGACAGTAATATTTATAACATTTATCTAACTATGGCAGACTTCTCTGTTTTCTGGTAAAAGTAACAATTGTTGAAGCTACATATTGTGATATACTTTACCACTGCTTTGTGGTAGCAGGCATCTTTCTGGAAAGCACACATTTTAAATTTGTTACAGATCTATTTGTACATTATCCAGAGGATAGTCTGAATGGTAATAGGTTCCATATTTCCTTTATATATTTCTTTCTTCCTTCTGTTAGTGCCTAGTCACTAATCTTGGTAGTACTTCTGAGAATTTTCATAAGTCTTGGGCTCTCCCAAACTCACTAGAACTGAGGTCTCAAAATACACACTCACACACACAAAAAAAACAACAACAACAAAAAAACAACAACACACCAACCCAAAAGTAGATGATTATTTTAGAAACCTGTCAGATCCAGAGGAAAATGGAACTAATATTGAAAATAGTAAAAATAATTAATATTAGTTTTTGAGTTTGGTAAAAATAGTACAAACATATTTTTTGAGCTATTTGAGAAGTTGTCAAATTGCTGCCCATTTGTCCCCAAATATCCTACAATATATAATCCTATATAACAAAAGGCTAATATGCAAATCGACCAAACCCTCGGAATGACTGGTTGCTATGACGTGCACTGACCATCAGGGGGCAAACGCTCAGTGCAGGAGCTACCCCCTGGTGGTCAGTGTGCTCCAACAGGGGGAGCACCGCTGAGCCAGAAGCTGAGCTCATGGCTGGCAAGTGCAGGGCCAGTGGCGCTCCCGCCTCTGTGGCAGCTCTAAGGACCCCCAGGGAATGTTTGCCTGCTGGCTTAGGCCCGCTCCTGTGAGCTGGCTGGGGGACATCCCCCGAAGGTTCCTGGACTGCGAGAGGGTACAGGCCGGGCTGAAGAACTCTGCATCCCTCAGTGTACTACATTCCTGCCTCTTGTTCCAATATATATTTCTTACTCAAGTACAGTTTCTTTTATCACCAAGGTTTGCCTTTTATCAAACGGACCTATAAGTAAATTAGATTTAGTTGTCATGTTTCTTTGGTCGTCTTCAATCTGGAACCGTTTTTGAGTCTTTTTTTGACTTTAGTAATTTATAAATTTTGAATATTATCTTTTTAAGTTATTTATAGAATATACCTCATTTTTTTTTTTTTAATGTTTCTTCATGATTGGATTCAGGTAGTACATTTTCAGTAGGACTACCCCAGATGATGCGTTCTTTTTGAATCCTTTCGAGTAGAACTGTGTTTGATTTGTCCCTACTGGTGTGATCTCTTCATTAAGTTTCTGTCTGCTATAACATTATTCTTTGTCCTTTTGAAATTAATAGTGTCTTTTATTTGTATTTGTAATCAATTAGTACTCTGATTTGAAAGAGTACTTGGAGACTATAACCATACTGCTTCTCATCATACTTTATCATCTGATTTTAGCATCTGATGATATTTCTTGGCTGAATTATTACTGTGATGTTTGCCAGATGGTGATTTTTCTACTTAATCTTGATTCCATTTTATACTAAAAATGTATTTACTTGAAAGCCAACTTTTAGAAGTAGCATAAAGTTTGTACGGAGTTTGTAGTCTCTTCGCATAAGAGGATCACAAGCTAAAATCATTTTTAAACAAACAAGACAAATAATATGTGGTTTAATGTTTTTCAGTATTAGAAAAAAAATGTAAGTAAAGAAAATTTTTTCTGTGACAGGTGTCTAAAAGTAGAGTAGTCTAAAAATGTAGGTGACCAGAAGTATTCTTTATTTATAAAATACAAATTATTTCCAACAGGAAATAATTGGTATTTACAACTACCTGTTGGAAATATGAATTTTGGGCAGCCAGCATCCAAGGCACAGGATGTTGGCTGGTATTGGTAGGTAACCTACCAAAGGTAAATTGTGTTGATGGCTGAGTTTAGTGGCAAAACTAAGTGCATTTATATACATTAAAGTAAAAATAAAATATTATATCGTAAGGTATTACATATTATATCTATACCATATTTGTTGTGCATAATTTTTAGTATACTGAATATCTGATTTGATGGATCAAAATTTAGGGTTTTTTCTCATCATTTTTAAATTTATGGGTTTTTCCTTAGTAATTAAAGTGTTTTGGTCTCTTGCTCTTATTTTCAAGCAGGCCATGATGGTAAGTTACTTTCAATGTACTAGATTTTTAAAATTTTGTCCAATTTGGGTTTTTTCATGTTTAAACCCATTCAATGTTTAAATATCTTATTCTTATAAAACATTTATAAGCATTACCTTGATAGCCAGTAACTGATTGTACTTTAAGACTACTACCAGTATTATATTCAATATTAAGATTACCTTACAATGTTCTGAACTCTGTTTAGAAGCCATAATGTTACACCAGCCTGACGTGGAGTTTTGAAGCTAGTAGACTTGTGGTCTAGCCCTGATTCCATAGTTTCTGATTCTGTCTTTTGGAAGTCACTTAACATTTCTGAACCTCAGCATTGTCATCTATACATAGAGATAATAATTGAAATGAAGTACCTTGAGATTATGATGTGCTATACACATATGATTATCCTATCTAATAAAGAGGGAATATGCTAATTGACCATCACACCCTCCCAAAGATGGCGGCACCCACAGCCAATGAGGGAATATGCTAACTAACTGTCACGCCTTCAATGATGGCAGCGCCCAGTCCCTTCAGCCCTGCTGGAATGGCAGGCCAGTGGCACGGCCGGGTCCACCCCCTGGCGGGTCTGGCCACTCTGCGCGTCTGCCTCCAGAGTCCCCCAGTCCCTTCAGCCCCCCAGCCACCTAAGGCTGGCTCGAGGCACAGGAAAGCCTCGGATAGCGGCTGCCCAGCTGCCCAGCGTTGGCCCGAGGCTTGCCTGTGCCTTGGATGTTGACTGCCCAGCTAATGCCTAAGGCGTGGGCAAGCCTCAGATGGTGGCTACCCAGCAGCCCAGGTAACCAGGGCTGGCTGAGGCTTGTGCTGCCAGCAGTGACCGCAGCAGAGGTGTGACGGGGGTGTCACCTTCCCCTGATCACTGGGTCACTTTCTGCCCCTGAGGGCTCCTGGACTGTGAGAGGGGGCAGGCTGGGCCGAGGGAACCCCCTCCAGTTATGATTTTCATGCACCAGGCCTCCAGTAGTAAATATAAATCTGGATATGTTATTTACTTAGTAAAGTTGGACTGTAAGTTAGATTAGGGTAGTATTCCCCAAAATGTATTTCACAATTACTTTTTAATATTTATTACTTATATTAGTTTATATATTCATTTATTTTATGTGGCTTTTCCCAGATGTATTTGCCTTTAGTATCTTTTATTCATAGAACATGTTTTGGTTTTCTCATTTTCCACGAAATACACTTTGATAAATGATGGCCTAGTGCTGGAACTATAATTGAATTAAGAAACAGTTATCTAGATTTGCTAGTTATGTTCAGTCTTTAGCATTGAATGACATCCATCATTGATAAAATTGTTTAATAGTGGACTCATTTTGAGGGACATAATTATTTAGATAGTGATAAAATAGCCAGCAAAGGAGAGTAATTTGAATTCAATTAAAAATTTTCTGATAATAATGTTGGATAATTTTACTATATGTATCAAGATGTTTTATAGTTTTTATGTCTAAAATTACTCACCTTGTGATATTTTATTAATTGAAACAGTCAAAAAAAGTAATAGTTCCCTTGAGTCTAGTTTATATGAATATCAGAGAACATTTCCCTGGCAATCATACAACCTAGAATGTAATTTTAGTTTTGCTTTGTGTGAAAA